TAGCGAGTAATTTGTTACAAAACCATATAAATTATAAATCACTGTAATCACAAAACTTCAATCTATTTCCGTATTGTAACGGAATTTTAAATGATGTCTTTATTTTCGAGAAAATTTAGTCCAAACATAAGGAGTATTTTGTTGATGTTTGACCATCAAAATCTTAAAAATAAAGAAGTTGTCTAAAATTGTGCTACTATAATCCTTTATCTTTAATTTCCTTCTTCATTTATGTAAAAATACCTAGCCAGTTTTACATAAAACGTTAAATGCCGAACGCTTATTTTGCTAGTTTTTCGGACTAATGAAATGGACTCTTAAGAACCGTACAGACTGTGCACATCTTATCTACAACATATTTCGGAGAAAATTTGGAGAATCTCATAATCTCAACAATAATTTAAGACTCCTACAGGTGTATAAAACCGGAAACATTTGATTATATTGTATGCAAAATATCTGAAACAATTAAAAAAAAGTGGTGCTCTTGAAAACGTGCCCACTCCACAGTGCAGAAAGGTCTAAATCTAAACGTTTTCCGATTCTCTTATCAAAGGACTACAAAGACGCGCTAATGTAATCATAGCTTCCACATAAAACACTTTTATAGAAAATACATTTTAATTTATTGCTTCGCTAATATACCGTGCGGTGGTGCATCGGAAAATGATCACCATCGATTTAAATTCTGAAAACGGCAAATATTACCTATCTTTCCAGATGACTTTTTTGAAGAGACGTTAAAATTAGTGTCTCCAAAAAAATCTTATATGGGTATTTCGCCACTGCAAGAAAAACTACAAAATAAAATAGCTATTTTTGTTGTAAAGATTGCTGCGTTAATCCAACGAAAACTACTTGTCAGCAGTTAGGTTTACAGATAAACAAATTTGCCTAACGAACAAAAAATGCTTAACGTTACGCAAAGTTTACCTCTTTCCGTCGTCGGAAGCAAAAAATACAACAAATAAAGAAAAAAAACTATTTAAAATATTAAAATGCAACTATTCGAGCACACTTTAGTTTTTTTTTAAACAGATACGACTACAAAACACCGTTGACGTTCTGTTAAAAAGACATTATATCAAGTTAAACTTCAAAATTAACAATTACTACCTGATGACAATTACTTAATAAGGTAAAGCCAAAAAGCCTCAAACTTTCTGTATGATTATTTTTACTTTTTACATATGTTATGTTTATTTGTGTTATGTTCATTAAAATCAAAGAAGCGATTGCCATACATTACTAACATACAGATTACTTTTATTATGTGATATATATTTATTTTAATTAGATTGTATTAAAAAAGCTTCTTTTATTTTTTATCGCTCCTTTCATTATAATTTTGACGTTGTTAAAATCTATTCTGTGCCCTGTGTCCCATGAATGCTCACAAATTTTAGATTTGTGAAAATCGTCCTTTCTTAAATAATCCTTATGTTCTTTAATTCGAACGTTTAAGGATCTAGATGTTTCACCAATATAAAATTTATCGCTATCATTCAAATGGTATTTTATATATTACATTTTTTCTTTGTTGTTCAGTATTTATTGGGAATAAATAAAATAAAAAAATTAGTGTTTTCGCCTATAATTTCGTCTTTCGCCTTTCGTCTCGAATTTATAATACGGCCCAAAGAAAGCTACAATTAAAATACCAACCAAAATATGATTTTGTCACTGTCAAATTCGATGTGAAATTTTGTTTACAAGAAATTGAATGTGCAAAATAGAGTAAATTTGTATAAAATAATTATGGCTTTCAGCACTTCCAAAAGAGCTACGATGATTAGATACTATTCTCAACTAGATACTATTCTCAACTAATAATGAGTGTCTCAACAACTAATAATTCTTTTGTAGATGAATTTCAACTTAGAAAAAAATAATAGCCAACTTTCCCAAACAACACAAATCCTTGTAAACAAAATGTGACGTCGAATTATACAGTGACAAAATCATATTTTTACTGGTATTTTAATTTTCGATGTACTTAAACAGCCGTTAAACGGTAGCCTACTAAAATGCCGTTAATAGATATTGTGACGTCGTTCATGTCGGCGGAAAGTAATGCCTGGTTTTAAGCATTTTGCAAGAGCACCTGTGGTTCCGTCGGTGAGGCTATCGCTTCGTGAGCGAATGGTCCGTGGTTCAAATCTCACGCCGACCAAGACTTTTTTATATTTTTTTTGCTTATAGGGGTGGATAGCGTTGGGTAGTCCTTATAAAATTCCTATATTTCATAAAGCCGTCAAGTGCGTCACATCAACGACGTCATACCTATTAACGGCATTTTAGTAAGCTACCGTTTAACGGCAGTTTAAGTACAGCCTTTAATTTTAGCTTTCCCTGGGCCGTATTATAAATTTTATTATTTGCCTAATAAATGCCTATTCCAAATAAAACAAAACTATAGACAAAAGTTCAACTTTAACTCCTCTTCAAAAAATCTAACACAACTTTTGCGTAAAATCATCTGGGGAGACAATATTTGACTTTTTAAAAATTTACATGGGATTTACTATGTATCGTGTTCCGATATACACCACACAATTTGCTTTTATAGTTTATCACAACTCCGACAACACGGCCTAACTCGATACGCCTATGGTAATAAATGGAAATTGCTTGAGGTATTAATAATATTATACGAATAAAATCGTGCAAATATTCGTTGAAAAATAGAAAACAGGCGTATAAAATCAACAGAGGTGTATAAAATATTAATTTTTATATCCCCGGAATTAGGTTCAATTAAAATAATACAATTAACTTTTTGAGGATTATAATTTTATTATTCTACGTATTGTGTTAAAATATAAATTGACAATTTTCATATATTTGTGAATGTAAATTTTCTTCCTTGCGATTTTCTTTGATTACTGGATTACAATAAATAGAGATGGGTCGTTATTTAATTATCTGTTATTTTATAATAGTAATTTAGAAATAACATAAAGCAACCGTTGCTACTTATAAAAAATAACGGATATAAAATACGACCTTGAACGATAGGTTAATTGAGAGTAATTTCTTAACGTGCTAAATGGCGTATCAAGTTTTTATGGTAGCCTCAATATTGCGTACAAAATTGTTAAGTTATTACAGTTGCCTAAAAACTAACAGAAAGGGAGATATTTTGTTTCTTTTTCTATTGATCTAAGCCACACTTTTTCAAATTTTATACCGGTCAATCATCAGCATCAGCTGTTTATTATTATTTCTGAACTTAATTATGTCTTCAGTGTTGCAGCTAATGTATTTTTTCACTGGATTTGTGATTTTAGAGATTTTTACATTTTTAGATTTATTGCGACAGGTGAGAAAGTAATTTGCAATAAAAAACATCATTTTCATAAACCGAGTTAGTAGTTTGTGTGAAAACATTGTTGATTTGAAATTAAATTGTTTCAGGTACCTACATACTTTATTACAAGATTTGTCCAGTTTTATATACAATAATTTTTTTAATTTAATACTTCTATTTTTATGAATATTTAAGTTACTTTTACTCTTACTTTTTTTTTGAAAGATAATGTACAGGGTGGGTCAAATTCGACGGAAAAGGAAAACACCCTGTTCTATAGGAGCTAGAACTAAGAGTTATCAAAAGAAAAAAAAAATTTTGGGCACGCCCTGTATATTTTTAATTAAATGAAAAGAACATAAAATTACCTTTCCAAAAATATAGCACACTTGATATTTTGTTATAATTCCCTTCGAAATACAGATTTTTTAAAAGTTCGCCACTTATAACTAGTAGGCTTTGGAGCCCTTATTGATGATCTTCCCCTAATGGAACTCGAAAATATATTTTTCCAGCAAGACGAGGCACCGCCTCAGAACGCCGAAGTTATCAGCTAACTTTTGCAGCCAATTTCGAGAATGATTGATTAGCTAACCAACATCCCAGCCGTTGGACGTCGAGGCCGCCGGACTTAGTACCTATGGATTTTTATCTTGGCGAAAGAATAAAGGTTGTTATTTTTAAAGTGTCTCTATAATCTAGACAAGAATTTAGAAGTACTTAGCGGTTATGCGAGAGTATCTTTCACCCCCATACCATGGACTGAATGAATTCCGTGAGAAATGTTCAAAAACGGCCCCGTCTGTCCATAACAGAAGACGGTCGACATGTCGAACACCTGTAGCACAATCTCATGTCTTGGTTTGCTATTTATTTTTATTGTTATTAGATATAGTTTAAATGTGTTGATGTTGTTTAATATAGTTTAAATTGTTATAAAATTATACATCTCTCGTTGCACACATTATTTTCGTTTTAATTGCTGCTCACAGCTAGAATTTGTGTGCATTACAGCCGGCGCCGTTCAAAGTGTACTTATTCAAAGTGGGCGAATTTTTAAGAACTCTTTATCTCGAAGAGGAATCGAGAAAAATATCAAGTATGCTATATTTTTGGAAAGGTAATTTTAAATTCTCTACAATTAGTTAAAAATATACAGGGTGTCCCATATAAAAATTCAAATTATCTGTTGATCATTCTTAAATTGTTAATTTAAAAAAAATATACATAAACAATTAAATTCCATGTAAAAAGGTGCTTTGGAAATGTTTTCATAAAAATAAAAAAAATATAGCAAAAAAGGTACAGCGATTTGTTAAAAATGCACATTTTTGAAAAACACCCCATAACTCCAAAACGGTAACAGATGTGCGATTTTCACCAACATGTTTTTGATAAAAATTGAGATCCAGACACCGATGTTAGTTTTCGTCTATCTCCTATAGAAAAGGGTGTTTCCCTTTAAAAGCGTCCAATTTGGCCCACCCGGTACCCAGCTTTTGATTTTTAAATCTTACAGTTAACGGTATATAACACAAGTTTTCAATTTAAACTTCCTACAACAACCTTAACGATAAAGATTCCGCAAAGGGTAATTCTTAAGTTGAAGTTCAAGCAAGATCGTTTCGCATTAGCAAAAGCGCTCGGCAGATTGCCGACAGTAAAAAGGAAAGAGCGGTTAAGTACTTACCAATAACAGTTACAAGAATCATCAAGCCAAGAACCACAGATAATGCGCTCATAAGGATGACGTCGGCGAGGGGCTCCATAGAATCGAGACCAATAATAGTTTCGTTAAGAGTGGAATTTTCCCGAGTATCGTTGATAAAACAGATCGGCATGGTGCAGTTCGAGCGGTAGATTGCTTCTAAGGAAGACGAGACGTTTCGGGATGGAGGATACTCAAAGATAACTGAAATAAAAAATAATATTTAAGGCGACTTAAAAGTTATACGAAAGCATAGGTAGATAATAAAAAAAAATACAATATTACACCATAATATTAGAATAAAATCAGTTTATTAAGTTGGTATACTAAGAGCTGGCAAAGAAATGCTTAAAAAAATACAATATTACATATTACACCATAATATTAGAATAAAATCAGTTTATTAAGTTGGTATACTAAGAGCTGGCAAAGGTTAGTCTTGGGTCGAGATTTCCGTATGTAAGAAGAGCACAATGCGTTTATAATGTACTGAACAAAGAGAGGACAGTAAACACGTTGCCAAACATATGAAATAAACCGAGAAACTGTGCACATCGCTAAGAGACGTGGAAGGGGATATAGCAGATTTGTCGCAGTTGGCCGGTCGACCCAATCAATACCTCTGTGAGTACTTAAAGTTCTAGGAAAAGGTGTACGGCATGCGTTCAACTTCACGATTTAATTGCGTCTCGTGATACTTAATTTGTTTACTTATTAACGAGTCGTAATTTTCCCTATAGCTTGAATTCTTTTAAGTGTAAGCTAGAAACAAATAAATAATAATTTGTAAGCAAAAAAAAATAAGTGGAATTGAGTGGGTGTTCGATAGTGGTCGCGCTATTAGAACTCTGAATTCAAAACTCGATATCTCGAAATCTATTAGAAATAATAGATTGTAGTTTTTTCAAGAACTTTGTTAATATTTCTGCTGTATTTTCTATATAGACAGTATGTGAAAATCTTTATCAATAAAAAAATTACACGATTGCTGAAAATTGCTATGCCCTAAAAGTAAATGGATGAATTGTTTACTTGATTTTTGAATGGAAAAACAACCTTATCAAATTTTTCTTATATAAACATATTGTAAAATATCCGATCTTGAAAATAAAAAAAAGTTTCAATATCTAAAGTGGTTCTTGAGTTATGGCCTGTTATGTGTTAAAAAGTTTAGTTTTTAAATTATCGCGATTACTGACGTTTTCTCGTTATAAAAAAATGACACCCTAATGATATCCTTATAATTCCATTTCAGATGCTCAGAAACTCTTGAAAAAAAAAAGTCTTTTAAAAATAAGTGGTTTTGCGAACGTGATTTTACTTTACTTGATAGGGAAAGGCGTACCGGCAACGCCGCAACAGCACACCGTCGCGCGTCGCATCGGTCGGTCGCATTTCTCTCACTCCGACTTATTAAGATCCCTATGCGATTTACTTCCACACATGTAAATGCCGACCCAAAAGTAACAGTTGCCAGCACGGTATAAGTAGTCAGTAGTCAGTATTCCGCAGAAAAAAAATAAGTAAAAAGTTCGTATAAATTTGTTCTGTGGCTGTAATACCCTGATAAAAATAAATATAAATAAAATTAAAAATAATAAAATAAAATGCTTCGTTTCGGAGATAAAGTGTAAAATTGTCATTTTTATTTTGATTCCTTCCCAATATTATCTCAGTTAACGTCGAAGTATGGATGAAAATCGGTGCCAGGCTATTTTTTGATATGAGAAATTTGATTTCGATATCAATATGACTCCTACTTGTAGAAGGCACCACCTACATGTTTTTCGACAGTTTCGAAGTGTACTGACTTTTCGTCCCCACCTGTATTAAACTCCCGAGTGAAAGAATATTCTTATGGTGTTTTTTTTTATGTAAAAAGGGCTCTTGGGAAATTTGGAGATCGCTACTAGTAATGAATTGTTCTCAAGATATTTGGAATCAAAATAATCAATGCATATCATCATTTTTCTTGATAAGGCGGACTCTCAGGACTCGTGTACTTATACAAACATTGATTATTGGCCTATACTTGCCATGTCGTCTGAGCGGTTTCCTTGTATAATTATTTGTTACTCGTCGAGGTGCGTGAGCGCCAAGCTTGTTGCAAAAAAATGTTGTTTACGAAGATAGTATACTTGCCAAGTACGCAAATATTGGCGTACTTGCCAATTACACGATTCGTGAGAATCCGCCTTTATATACAGAATATATGCTAGCTTTTTTTTTCTTGGATATGAGGTTTTATAACAGTCTTTTTTTTTTCTAGAGAGCTATTACTAACGCCTAACAGTCGGTCTTTTTGTTCTCGGGCGCCACCCCTAAAGTTTAAAGTGTTTGAGAGACCTCGGCCAATATGGGTAGCTTTTCTACAGTGGAGAATCCAGGGAAATGGGGTAAAAGCCAGTTAAAGTCGAATATATTCCATAACGAGGTTTATTTAAATAAATTAATTATGAATCCAATATCTTCAAATAAATCAAATATGAAGAAAATATTAAAACATGAAATATCGCAAAGTCTAACACAGAGAAATTAAATCAGTTAATTACAATAGCAAATAATTAGTTCATATGATTTAAATTCAAACCTGTAAAGAAATATTATCATAGAAACTACCAGCAATACATATTCCCATGCATCTTTAAATAAATCAAATATAAATCCAATATCTTCAAATAAATCAAATATGAAGAAAATATTAAAACATGAAATATCGCAAAATCTATCGCTAAATCTATCACATAATTAAGTTCATATTATTTAAATTCAAACCTGTAAAGAAATATTATTATAGGAAATACTAGCAATACATATTCACATGCATCTTTAAATAAATCAAATACGTAAGAAATATTATCATGGTAAAACAAAAGAGGAACCTTAATTAACTCTTCCTCCGTAAAGGAATTTTATACCATAAAAATAAAAATAAAAACTCTACTGTGCTTAAACTAAAATTTGCGATTACTAGAACTCTGATGGGGTATCTGGCGGTTACAAAAAAAAAGAAAGAATGCGATTACCTCTTTTTCTGAAGGAAATCGGCGTCGGATAAAACGAAACGGCCTGGTTTTCTGAATCGCCTACAGCAGCCCGGAATCCGGTCACACTAATTATTCACGGTCAGGTATAAAGAAAACTTAAAATCGGCGTCGGATCAAAACGAAACGGTCTGGTTGTCTATTCACGGTTAGGTATAAAAAAAACTTAAATGCTCGGTTTTTTAACTATCTATACTCATAAATCAGAAATACGGTTTACACTTATTTTAAATCAAATCTCTGGGACCACGATTTATACTTATTTAAAATCAAAAACGGAGATACGGTACTTTTACTTTAAAACTCAAGAATTCGGTTTTTTACAGCAGCGCTGATAAAAAAACGGATCAGAATCGACTTAAACTCACGAGGTTTACTTAGAAAAGATCACCGGTACTTAGTCTCAACAGGAAGGCCCCGTTTTCGCGCTCCCGTCGCTTAAATAATATTTCCCGTCGGGAACCACGAACCACGTTCGGTTACCATCGTCCTACCTCCCATCAAGATTCCTTACAGTAAAAAAAAACGGTTTTTACCTGTCGATCCTACAAAAAACCATTTGCTGTTTGTACCAAAAAAAAACTTCAACGTCTCCATGCAAATCGACGAAATATTTAACACAATTTTATCAGCAAATAATTTTTAGTATTAAAAATATTTTTCAGTTTTAGACTATCATAACAGTTCTAAAAATAAAAATAAACCATACTAAGCTTGTCTAAGAATTATTTGTTACCATAATCCTTCAAAACAAATGAACATATCAAATTCTACTTATATACAGTATGGTTCATAAATCCACAAACGCTATCCGTCCTGGTGATAAAAAAAAAACAAATATTTAAACATTTACCATGAGAATATTAATGATAAAAAAAATAAATAAAAAGTTATGGCCCAAGGCAGGATCGAACCCTGGCTCTTCGGTGTACCAGCGAAGTACTTTCGCTCCGAGCTATCGTGCCGTGTTGGATACATGTTCACACCTAGCATTTAACAGATTAAATAAAAAAATATACGGACTTCATTACAGTTTATTGTAAAATATAAAAGGTCCTTTTCTTTTGTCGCGCTAATAAAATAAACTGACTGAATAAAATATCAGATACTAACTTATCTGATATTTGAAAACAATGATATTTTACTTATGACAACACTCTACTATGATCCCTTGAAACACACGCGTTCAGTTTTCACCCATTGCTAATTGCATTGTAAACATTTAAATAATACACTTTATCATAAAAGTTCCTTTACTTTTCTACGATACTGTAAAGTACCCGCAGAAACAGAAAAACAAATTTATTATTCATTACAAATATATATATTAAACGTTATTAAAATTAATCATATTTTTGTCAGACAAGAATAAGACGAATCTATAGATTATAGCATTAAATATTTACGTTTTTTTTCTTTTTCTTGAAATTCTTGCAAAGAAATACCACACAAATATTGTTGGCCTATTTCAAGCATCTGTCTGAGACCGTATGAGCTTCGCTTCTTTTTGTTTCTTTAGAAACTGCCAGTGTCCCAAGAGAGGCTGTCGCGGAGGCCTTTTGTGGCTCAGGACGGTTGTTTCTTGTTTTTGTCGCTATACTTTACTTATATATCGTGGGCGTACAAGGAAAACCATGTAAGTCCAAAAACTAAAAAGGTGAGAAAAAGTGATTTTAATGTTTGAAGTGATATGTAAAATCCAATTTTATTTTTTGACTGTATTAAAAGAAATCGTTTGACATTAGGGTTATTTAGGGCTAATATAGACTAAATTAAAATACAGGGGTTTTAAGAACAAATTGTTTATTGACATTTTTATATAATAATCTGACTTAATGGATTTTTCTGAAAAAAAAACTTAAATTTTACTGGAGTTAGTGGGTTTTTCTTGATTGGCTCCTTTACTTTTTGGGATCAAATAATGAGCCAAAGGCTCATTATCGGAATCACAATCGCTTTCTTGATCAGAAATTCCCACAGATCCATCTTGAACATTTTTTGCAGAGGAAAGAGACTGGTACCATCCGTGAAATTCGTGAGGAATTGCACCACTTTTGCACAGTTTTAAAAGATCTTCTTTTTTCTTTGTGCTTATTGGTAACAAGTTTCTATACAAATTTTTTAATTGTTTTGGAGGGGCTGGTGGTCTGCCTCTTCCCCAGATTTTTATAACTTTATATTCACTGCTATGTTCATACTTATATTCGATTATATCAGCATGCTTTTTTGAGTAACGTAAACTCTTAATTAGCAACCAATTAACTGTGTTCCCCTCAATGTCCTTAGATCTGTTTTTTATGAGCAATTCCGACAAAGCTTTTAAATCATAAAATTCATTGAATTTTAGTTCTCTGACATGGTATGGTTCACTATGTCTATTGCGATTCCTTCTGGATCTTGCTATACGGAAGATATTCAGCCAATCTTGAATGGTATACACTGGTATATACTTTTTCGCATGTTCTATTGCACTGTGCATCGAATCTGCTTCCATATAGGAATGACCACTCTCTAAAAATTTGTGTTCAATCACTTCTATATGGCTCACATTTACTAAATAACACAATAGCGCTGCCACATGTTGGTTTCTATTCTGTCCTCCGCACGTGTCTGACCAAAGCGAAACTTCTTTTATTGTAAGTGGCAAATTGTTCAAATATTCAAAAAGACAAGAGCCGATTTCAGAGCTTCCCCGTTTCCCATTCAGCTCCGTCCAGCAAAAGCAAAACGCATTATTTGGGGGAGCTGATTCATAAATAGTGAGATTGTAAACACAAATTTTTCGCGAATAATACATTGGACTAACATCTGAACAGGGAATTTGTAGCACAGACTGTAAATCAAATGTTACCGAGCAAAATGTTTCTTCTCTTATAGCTCTCTCTTTATCTTTCTTTTTTTCTGCATAACAGTCTTCTTTTCTTCTTAGATGACTGAGATAACTCTCATAATTTTCTTGCTGATGGTCTGCTGTGACTGGCTTGCTTTTATTTTTTTCGCATATCTGACAGAGATCCTTTTTGGGTTTAAAAAAAGATAAATTATAATATTTTCCAAATATTCGCTTATAGGTAATGAACGAGGCAGCTTGTTTCTTCTCTTGCTCGCATTTCTCTTTATATAAAGAGTACATTTTTGATATTGAAAGAGTACTATCTAAATATTTCTTTCTTGTTGATTTTCTTGTGTGATGGGACTCATTCGTTGGGAAACTTTCAATGTGTGATTTTATATCAGCTACAACATAGTCAGGAGTTTTATTCCCAGGTTTAGATTTTCCTCTTTTATCTTCTCCAATGTAGGTGCCGGCTGGTCCTTTATGTGAGAATGCATTCAGAACTACATCATTAGAAATATTTAACGTCTTTAGGAAAAAAGCTTGGCATACCCTCAATTTATCTTTGTTTTTCTCAAAATAATATTGTTTGGAATCTTTTCGTGGGGGTCTATTATTGTTTCTGTATCTACGCCTTTCTGGGGTTTTGGCAGTTACACAATTTAAAAGAAAATCTTTTTGTCTTCGAAAGTCGGTAAGTTTCCAATAACTCTGACAGAGTACTTTTCTTTCTTCATCAGAAAACTTATTATGGCACTTGTACCTACACGTTTGGCAGTTTATTGGTTTTGGTTGCTTAGCTGGTCGTTGTTGTTTTTTTATTTCATAACTCAAGCTGTCACTTCTCCTTTTTTTTGCTACATTATACTTCCATGTTTCTGGATGACTGGTTTTCCATCTGCTTTCAGTTTTACCAGATGTATTAAGTCGCTCATCTTCTAGTAATTAAAATATTTTAATTATTAATTTCTCGCTGACAGTAATTAAAAACAACAGTACTTACCCTCGGAAGATGTTCTATGGTCCAAATCATTAAGGGCCTTCTCTTCTGGAAAATTGAAATAACTCTGTTAAATATCTTGCTATCGGTTGTAAAAACAATCGTACCTACCTTCGTAGTTTGGATCCTTTAATGAATCGTCACTATCTTCAGAATAAGCCAGTATTTCTTCCAGATCTGGAGTGCTATCCACAATTATTACTTTTTTATTAATTGTGGAACTTCCTAAAAATAGGTAAACTCTATGAAAAACTTTTTTTTTTAACTTGATAAAAAAGGTTGGTCCAGAATTTCAACCTAAGAAAAGATAAAAAGTGAATACGTACCTTCTTCCGGTTCTGGCACTGAACGGTTACAGTCTACTAGATTATTGGTACCACCATTATTAACATCTATTTCATTATTAGAAGCCATAGAGCCATCTCCATTCATCGTAGAAGATTCTAATATAAAAACACAAAAATCAATTAAGTCCATAATAAGCAGGTATGTTAAGTAAAAAGCAATTAAGTCCAGTTGAACGAAAACATTTCGTTAATAACACATTCACATTCACAATAATTTAAAATATATTATTTTATGTTTAGATTCAAGATTTTAACATATCATAAGTACTCACCTGCAATCTTTATCTCTCCAGAATAACTTGGTGGTAGTGTTTTTTTATTATTGATAAAAATCCGAGAAATTTCAAAGTCTTTATTTTCACAATTCTCTTTTACTTTTTCATAAGCCAACATTATTTTCTTTATTCTAGAACCCATTTTACTGCTTTAGTAACACTGAAAAACAGCGCTAAACGAAATACCGACCCGGTCTCTATCGAAGCGTGGCGATAACTAACAGGTCACAACAATTGTTTTTCTAACCTCATTTTGGACCTCGTTTTGGACTTAATGGATTTTTGCAGAGTGTTAAAAAATTCATAAATCCATTAAGTGCACTTAATAGATTTTTCTGAGCGAAATTTAGTGTCTGTGGACTTAGTTATTTTGAAGCTAATAATATCTCGTATATTTGAACTGTATTGGATTTAAATGATATTTAATATGAGAGGTTATACCTAAATGGACTTAGTAATGTGAAAAAACGATTTTACGAAAAAGTGGACTTACATGGTTTTCCTTGTACGCCCACGATATATCTAACAATGACATGTTAGCTTTTAGTATATTTATGGATTAGATAAATAAAAACTAAAGTATATTATTTAGAAACTGAAAAGTTATTCAAAATGTATTAAACGCTCATTATTTTCCATTAATTAATAAACAAAGTTGTAAAATCAAAATTAAACATAAAAAAAATATAAGTTATAACAGTTGTCAGGTACTAAAATAATGAAAGATCCCCAGGTACATCGATCAGGTATGACGACCGAGAAAAATTTTCGTCGATTTAAGTAAGTTGTTTATACCCTACTAACAATCTTCGGATTGTCACGGGGTTTGTAACAGGACACTGTCTCCTTAACAAACATCTCAGTAGATTGTAGCTAAGAAACAAGATCACCTCATCAGTGAGTGCGCCGAGACGACGACCATTTGTGCCAAGATGTGTTGTACGAGTGATATCGAAGATGGAGAACTAACCTCTGTAAAAGCGCCACAAATATTGACTATTGTCAAAGCTCTGAGACTGTATGATGAGTTATAACTTATTATAACTCAAGAAAAATGGACACAATAGATCTGTAAATTCGTGGAGGTTATCTCCTCTCTCATACATTCTACATTCTACCTATTCCCAGGTAAACGAAGAAAAACAGAATACAACAGAGTACAACAGAATACAAAACACGCTTGACGCCGCGCAACCACGAAAACAAGCAGGCTTTAGAAGCGGCTTCAGCACGATTGATCACATACATACACTAATAGAAAATCAGTTGAACAAAAGAATACAAACTTTATCAGTAAACGCACATTCAATTTAATGGAATTTACGTTTTTTGTTTTTTTTTTAAATAGTTTGTTATCTCCACAAATAAAAATATTTAGAACCCATTCAATTTAATTGAGTTTACGTTTTTTCTTTTTATTTCAAATAGTTTGTTATCTCCTTAAATTAAAATATTTTACTAACCTTTTTTTTTCATTATTAGTCATTATTTATCATCAGCAATAATTTCCCAACTTTATGCGTACAGGTTAAAAATCACCCTGTATAGAAGGAAGACAAATAAAACAATCCCAGAGTTCCCAACTGGATGAGAGTACTACAGGGAGACGCGATATTCCTAAAGCTGTTTACAGTAACACTAGAAGAAATCTTCCATCAACTGGACTGAACCAACAAAGGATTAAAAATAGATGGAGAATATCTCAACCGTCTAAGATTCACTGATGGCATAGTCCTAATTCCCAATAGCCCTGAAGAACTCCAAGGACAAATTAACGAACTAAATTCAGCCAGCAATAAGATGGGTCTAAAAATGAACTAAACAAAAACTAAAGTAATGTACAACGAACTAGTGGACAAAAAAAAAACATTATAATAAATAAAACAGCACTGAAAATTGTAGAAGAATACATATATTTGGGACAACTAATACACAACTCGGGATAAGGGATTACTTAAGGAAGAACTCTACACGGAAAAAAATCTAAACTGGCTTAAAGATTATTAATCTTGAACCAACGATATGCTAGTTTCCCCATTCCGCAAATCTAGTTATACTTCTTTTCAAGAAAACCTTATCCTTAGAAGCTAAGAAAATTTACCTTTATTTAAGATTTACTAGTATTGAAATTAAGATTATAACTACACTCCAGACAATTCTAGATAAAATCTTGTTTCGAGTACTACTTATACTTTTTGTAAATTAGCAAATTATTGCATTAAGTATAAAAATTCTTTGTGTACATGTAATAATTACTTTATTCTAGTGTAATATCACCTACCATAAAATAAAGCCTCTTCTTACTTTTAGGTTAGTTACTAGATGCGCCGACTAGGTAGTTTATAAAATTATAAAGTTTTTTTGTTATCGTTTGTGCTTGTGATATGTGAAAATGGAGGACCTTCTTCAGGCATGGGAGATGACGATTTGATCCCAAAATTTCAAGGTAAGTTTAGCAATAATCCTACATTATTTGATGACATTGGTTGTAGGTTAGGGGGAAATTTTTAGCATGTCCCAACTCTATTATATTCATGTATGTTACCGGGCAAACCCGATTTTAGGATAAACTAGTTTTTCTTAGGACGAATATTAACCGGGATCGAAAAACTGCTCTTAAAAAAAATATAGTTCTCACAAAATTCGGTAACGTGTACCCTATGCTTTCGGAGGTTCGGGTTCGATCTTGTTAGAAACTCTTGTTTTGGTAAAATCTTTTCTTAATTTTCATTTACAATAGGTATGGAATTTTGAAATATCACCAGACTAACCCCGAATATGGTTAATACTTTTTAAATTAGATTAGCCAAACATCACCTACCAAATTATATGCTTTTCGTAATAAGAAAATAAAAACTGTGTAATTTCCCAATATCGGTAGATATTGGACAGCGGCATCGCTAATTAAAAACGAGAGACAGTAATAAAAATTGTTAAAACATAATTGAATCATTCCAAACGCGTACATACCTAGTTTACCCCCAGTGTATAAGAAATAATGCATATTAAAATAGTAGTCCCCCTAACCTCAAACTAATGTCATCAAATAATGTAGGATTATTGCTAAAATTACCTTGAAATTTTGGGATCAAATCCGTCATCTCCCATGCCTGAAGAAGGTCCTCCATTTTAACATATCACAAGCACAAACGATAACAAAAAAACTTTATATAAAGTACCCGGCGGGTCTCGTGTCGCAGAAGAGAAACAGAAACCCAATGAAATGAAGATAGGAATCAGGAATGCACCGTTGCGTTGTTACTGTTGGGGATGGTCACTTAATATAAGAATAGTAACTCTTGGAAATGGGGTGTTATTCTCGCGGCGAGAATAATATACTTATTTAAAGTCTTAATACACCGATTTCAAATAAAAGTTTTAAAAAGTTAAGAATACTACTTATTATTATATAAAAGCATTTATACTTTTAATATAAGTTTTTCTTAAATATAAGTCATTTTATTCTTTCTTTTAGATTCAAAATTACTTAAAGTGACTATAACTATATATAAAAAGCAAGTGTAAAAGTAAAATAGTTCCAAATATTTGTTGTACTCATGGAAAGAATACTATCCTTAAAGAAAGTGTAAAATTTTAAGTGTATGATTGTTCTTGAATATAGAAATTATTTTTTTCCGTGTATCATTTCCAAATCTAGAATGCCACTGTATCTAAAGAAGAAAACATTCGACCAATGTGTACTACCAGTCATGACCTATACATGCGAAACCTGGACACTTAAAACGGACATCATAAGGAAACTGCAGATCGCACAACGCTCGATGGAACGAAATATGTTGGGAATAACCAAGAGAGACCGCAAAAGAAATAGATTGGATAAGCCAAAAGACCCAAGTAATAGATGTCATTCACAGAGTCAAATCCTACAAGTGACAACGGGCAGGATATCTAGCAAGAAGGACGGACAACAGATGGACCACAAAAATTACAGTATGGTACTCACGAGGAATTGAGATACCTAGAAGAAGACCGAACCTAAAATGGGACCATGATATTATATTAGGAAATTGTTGGACCCGCATAGCCAACAATAGAGAACAATGGGCCCAACTATAAAGAGAGTATCTAATAATGTGAGGGAGGCTACACCATAATTGAAAATGCTTGAATAAACTAAAAATGATGATGATGATAATGCAGCGAAGAAAAATATAAATTATTTTATATCACTTTACTTATATATACGTATTTTATGCGGTTCTTTCAATCTAAGATAAATGTATTGGATTTTTTTTTGCATCACTCTAATCAACTAATTACGGCTAATGTTTACTCCCTTAAACATCATATAACATATATTAATTAACTATATTTTCTTCTTATTATTTCTTCCCTTGGTATAATATATTAAGCAAGAAAACATTTCGTAAATGTAATTAATTATATTTTTTCCATTTACTTATGCCAGATACGATATATACATAATTTTTTATTAAAAGTGTCTTTATATAATATGTATTATATACTTATATGGAATTTTATGAATATATGTTTTGTAAAGAAACACGGAAACCCTCTTCCAAAAATATGTGATATTTTTCTACGGAAATCGTAATATAAAAACTGCAAAAAATGTCAATGTCAAAGAATGTCCAAGAACAAGATTTATGTGCAGCTTTATGGACTACAAGCAACTAAAAAAATCATTCACTTCATTTTAATGGTACCTTCTAATAATTATATTAATCATATACTAGATAAATCGCCACAAAACAATATACTTGTTATAGACCAATTAACTCATAAGAATATTATTCCCAAGAAAAGAACTAAAAAAGAGATTCTTAACAAACAGTTCATTATAGATGTATTTTAATTCTCCAGGACACAAATTAAGTAATTATTTCGCTAAGAAGTAAACAAGCTTAAAATAGATGTTCTCTTAGAACTGAAGGTTAGTCTAATATTTAGTATCAAATTAAAATCTTTATACCAAAAATGTTTTTTTTTTATTTTTCATTTTTGTTAAAGAAAAAAGCTTAACTAGAAGAGAATATAAGTAGATAGTATGCTATTTATTTAATTAATTTGGTATTATTCTATTAGTACTAATTTAATTGCGCTATTTACTGACGGATCCAAGATGGATTCAGGTGTAGGTTCGGGTTTCTTCTCGGAAAGGTCTTGACATCGCAAAGTCTTACCGGCTTCCGGATAGATCAAGTGTTTTCCAAGCGGAGATACTGGAAGTCCTGCGAATGGTTGAGCGAGGAGACAGGTTATGACCGAAAAACTGCAGTAATCACTTACAGCCAAACAGCAATGTCGGCGCTGAACTTTTCTACCATATCAAAGGCGATAATCGTGCCTTGGGCTAGACGCATCAGCTTCTCCCCTCGATAATATAAAAAAGATATTCACCACCATTTTCTGTCTATGGAAAACAGTAGATGGAAAACTTTAAATACCTGCAGGACAACCAAAAAAACTTGGCCCAAATACGACCTTAAGAAATCGGGAGAGCTCATAACTAAATCGGGTAAGGATATCG